ACGCGACAGCATGGACGGAGAGACGGAACAGCATGGACGGAAAGACGCGACAGCATGGATGGAGAGACGCGACAGGAGGGCCGGAGAGACGCGACAGCAGGGACGGAGAGACGCGACAGCATCTACCTAGAGACGTGACAGTAGGGACGGAGAGACGCGATAGCAGGGATGGAGAGACGCGACAGCATGGACGAAGAGACGCGACAGCAGGGACGGAGAGACGCGACAGTAGGGACAGAAGACGCGACAGCTGGGACGGAGAGACGCGAAAGCATGGACGGAGAGACAAGATAGCAGGGACAGAGAGGCGTGATAGCGGAGACGGAGAGACAAGACAGTAGGGACGGAGAGATGCGACAGCTGGGACAGAGAGACGCGACAGCCTGGCTTGACTGCCGCCAGCGTGGAGGGAAAGACGCGACAACGAGGAGGGAGAGACGTGACACCAAGGACGGAGAGACGTGAGAGAATGGAAGAAGAGACGTGACAACATGGACGAAAAGACGCGACAGCATGGACGGAGAGACGCGATCGCATGGAAGGAGAAACGCGACAGCACGGACAGCGAGATGCGACAGCATGGATAGAGTGACCCGACAGCATGGACGGAGAGACGCGACAGGATGGATGGAGAGACGCAACCCATGGAGGGAATGACGCGACAGCAATGACGAAGAGATGCGTCAGCAGGAACAGAGAGACGCGACAGCATGGACGGAGAAACGTGACAGCATGGACAAAGAGACGCGATAGCATGGATGGAGAGACGCGACAGTAGGGACGGCGAGACGCGACAGCACGGACAAAAGGGATGCGACACCAGGGACGGACAGACGCGTTAGCAAGGACGGAGAGACGCGACAGCAGGGACGGAGAGACGCGACAGTATGGACGGAGAGACGCGACAGCATGGACTGAGAGACGCGAGAGTAGGGACGGAGTGACGCTAGAGCATGGACGGAGAGACGCGACAGCATGGACGGACAGAGAGATGCGATAAGATGGACGTAGAGACGGGACAGCAGGGACAGAGAGGCGCGACAGCAGGGACGGAGAGACGCAAATGCAGGGACGGAAATACGCGACAGCATGGAGTGAGAGACGCAACAGCATGGATGGGGTGACGCGACAGCATGGACGGAGAGACGCAACAGCATGGATGGAGAGACGCTACAGCATGGACGGAGAGACGCGACAGCAGGGACCGAGACACGCAACAGCAGGGACGGAGAGACAACAGCAAAAAACAGAGAGACGCGACAGCAGGGATGGAGAGATGCGACAGCAGCGACGGAGAGACGCGACAGCATGGACGGAGAGACGGAACAGCATGGACGGAGAGACGCGACAGCATGGATGGAGAGACGCGACAGGAGGGGTGGAGAGACGCGACAGGCGGGACGGAGAGACACGACAACATGGACGGATTAACGCGATAGCATGGACGGCGAGACGCAAGAGCATGGACGGAGAGACGCGACAACATGGATGGAGAGAGGCAACAGCAGGGACGGAGAGACGCGACAGCATGGACAGAGATACGTGACAGTATGGACGTAGAGACGCGATAGGATGGACGGAGAGAGGCGACAGCAAGGACGGAGAGACACGACAGCATGGACGAAGAGACGCGACAGCAGGGACGGAGAGACGCGACAGTAGGGACAGAGAGACGCGACAGCAGGGACGGAGAGACGCGACAGCAGGGACAGAGAGACGCGACAGCATGGACGGAGAGATGCGACAGCACGGACATAGAGGCGTGATAGCAGAGATGGAGAGACATGAGAGCAGGGACAGAGAAATGGGACAGCTGGGATGGAGAGACGCGACAGCCTGGAGGGACACCCGACATCGTGGAGGGAAAGACGCGACAACGTGGAGGGAGAGACGCGACAGCAAGGACGGAGAGACGTGAGAGCATGGAAGAAGAGACGCGACAGCATGGGTGAAGAGACGCGACAGCATGGACAGAGAGACGCAACAGCATGGAGGGACGGAGAGATGCAACAGCAGTGACGGAGACACGCAACAGCAGTGACGGAGAGACGCAACAGCAGGGATGGAGAGATGCGATAGCAGCGACGGAGAGACGCGACAGCATGGACGGAGAGACGCAACAGCATGGACGGAGAGACGCGACAGCATGGATGGAGAGTCGCGATAGGAGGGGCAGAGAGAGGCGACAGCGGGGACAAAGAGATGCGACAGCATGGACGGATAAATGCGATAGGATGGACGGAGAGACGCAACAGCATGGATGGAGAGACGCGACAGCATGGACGGAGAGACGCGACAGCATGGATGGAGAGATGCTACAGCATGGACGGAGAGACGCGACAGCAGGGACGGCGACACGCAACAGCAGGGACGAAGAGACAACTGCAAACAACAGAGAGACGTGACAGCAGGGATGGAGAGATTGGATAGTAGTGACAGAGAGACGCGACAGCATGGACGGAGAGATGCAACAGCATGGACGGAGAGACTCCACAGCATGGATGGAGAGACGTGACAGGAGAGGCGGAGAGACGCGACAGCAGGGATGGAGAGACGCGACAGCATGGACGGATTCACGCGATAGCATGGACGGAGAGACGCGAGAGCATGGACGGAGAGACGCGACAGCAGGGACGGAGACACGCAACAGCAGGGAGGAAGAGACAACTGCAAATAACAGAGAGACGCGACAGCAGGGACGGAGAGACGCGATAGCATGGACGGAGAGACGCGACAGCATAGACGGAGAGACGCGACTGCATGGACGGAGAGACGCGACAGCATGGACGGAGAGATGCGACAGCATGGACGAAGAGATGCGACAGCAGGAATGGAGAGACGCGACAGCATGGACGGAGAGACGCGACAGCATGGACGGAGAGACGCGACAGCAGTGGCAGAGAGACGCGACAGCAGAGACGGAGAGACGCGACAACAGGGACGGAGAGCCGCGACATCAGGGACGGAGAGACGCGAGGGTATGGACTGAGAGACGAGACAGCAGGGACAGAGAGACGCAACAGCAGGGACGGAGAGATGCGATAGCATGGAGGGAGAGACGCTACAGCGTGGAGGGAAAGACGCGACAACGTGGAGGGAGAGACGCGATAGCAGGGACGGAGAGACGTTAGAGCATGGAAGAAGAGACGCGACAGCATGGACAGAGACACGCGACAGCATGGATGGAGAGAGCGATGCAGTATGGGACGGCGTGTGCTGTTTACTTCAGAAAATTTCGAACTCTGCTACCTCTGTATCAACTTTTTCTGCAGTATCGGCGGAAGGTGTCACTGGCACTCGATAAAATCGGCATCGACAAATGCGGATGTTGTGGATGATCTTCATGCCTGGCCGATTTCCTAGAAAACGGCAGTGTCGCCTGTGTTTTTCTAGGGAAACGGTCTTGGAGACAGACCAGCACCCCAAGAAACAACGTCTCTGGCGCATCGTTCAGTGCCCTCGATTTTCATGGGTTTGTACTTGTAAAACGTACGGAGATGCGACAGACCGAGTTAGACGAGAGGGGAAATTCGACACTTCAGGAAGAGCAGGGCAGCGTAGCAGAAATCTCAAGCTGAGTGCCCCCATGTTTGGCTAAGCGGCGGTAGCACTATGGCCACCTACCGACCGAGACTTTCCAACGACTTACATCTTCCACACCAGATTCCAATTTCGGGTCTAATACTAACCGCAACTCGCCAAATGAATACTGTTCCATAAAATTACCCTAAGGGCATACACAATCATTGTTTGACCGACCATCTCAAAACACAAGTGGCGCGAAACACAAGTACCCTGAGCAACGAAATGGGATTGAGCCCGAAAAAACCTGCGCGACGAGATTCCCTGAGTTGTCAGTGGAGCAATTTTGGCATGTCCAATACGAATTTGTCCCAGTCGCTAAAGTGCAAGAGTCTCGCTGGGGTGACAGGTGTCAGGTTGGGTTCGCTGATGGGGGGAATGTTTGGGTTTTTAGGTTAACGGTAACCCTTACTATCGTTTTTCGCTCTGGGGTAACGTTTACCCCTATTACAGAAGGATTTTTGGCTGTTCCAGCCCCCGAGGGGCAATTTTTTGTTCTTCGAGGTTAGTCCGCTCCACAACGAACCATGCGTCACAATCTCGTTGCTCCGTCACTGTACTTTTCACTTGGCAAATTCGCCACACCTCTCCTTGTCTTCTTGTTCCGAAGCCATCCAGGGAGGTGGGTGGCTCTACAGCGAGCTGTTACACAGCCCTACTGTTGCGCCAAATCACCAGATCTCCTGCCAGCACGTCAGCCAACTCTAGCTCTTGATATACGCCGGCTGATACATACAAGATTAGGTTAGCATATATGCATGAAATATGTTGCATATAATTGCCTCAAGTTTAGAGACCACATTTCCTAATTCCCTTTTGCTGAAATAACTTCACGCAGTGCATTTGCAGTGTCTCAGTCATGTTTAAAACTTAGAAAATAACAAGGATATCGCTAGCACACCCTCCTTGCTGCTGGGTGTCTTGTGAAACACAACACATGGCTATTATTTTTTTGTGGGGCAACATATTGTCATCGATAGTAGAAAAACAATAAAAATGTATAAAACCCCGCAAAAATATGGAAATGTTACTCGTTTTCTATGCACCATGTGATTGAGACCAACTCTTTATATTAAATAGACATTCTCTTGCTTTTGATGTAACCAAAATATTGAGAACACGTGCACATGTCTTCTGTTAACGCACAAGTAACAAAACTTTATGGAATTAATGGAAAAAAATATGGACCATTTGTTTTCCACCATTTCTTGTATTCCCTTTATTTTACTGACGAAAAAAAAAAAAAAAAAAAAAAAAAAAAAAAAAAAAAACGCAAGCTATCCATCTATCGCCTCCCTAGTGCTAGCATTGGGGGGAATTTTTTGTGATAAAGTTGTAACTTAAGCATTTCTGTAAGTAGTTCCAATAGATAATATCGAGTTACACTATAGATAGCATCCGTAGAATGACCTCAGCAAATAGCGCTCGTCTGGATGATTTTTTCAGCAAGTCGTTTCAGTCACGCGAATAGTCGCGCTATTTTCAGTAGCGTTTAGAGCACATAGCGCAAATAGCTCGAACAGGTACATCAGCGAATATGTAATTCTAGCAGATATAAAAGTAACTTGTACAACTTCAATTGTTAACTTGTTCTTCGGTAAATTCTAGTCAACACTTTAGAAGTTCTATGACTTCCGCTGTCTTATTAGTTTACCATTCCAGCAAAGATCCTTGGTTAAGTCTTGAAGTATCACAAGGTTGTAAACACTGGCTCTGGTGTTACAACTTGTTAGTACTAGCTGTTACTTGTGGTGCCTCCAGTATTACTTTCTACTTCAACTACTTGTGTCTGCAGATTCTATACTTTGTCTCCTACACCACCTTTCAAATTCTTTCAGAAGTTAATAGAATAGTGACGAAACAACACAGTTCATGAATTCCAAAAATATAGTTTGCACTCATCACCTTCTTTTCGAATAACTCTACTCATAGAGCGTGTCAAGCACCGTATGTGAAACACAAAATGCATTGCATAAGAAGAAGAGAAGGGTAAAAATCAAGAGAGAGTCTACAGAAAAACATGGAAGACAAACAGAGCAATTAACCGGAATAACATATGTCCCCTATAAAAGTCCACAATTCAAAACTACAATCATCTTCCAAAAACATTCATGAACCCTGAAAAAATAAAACGGAAGAACAGAAGAGGAGGGATAAGAGACGTTTTAGGCTGATTATGGCTACTAACGATAATAAAGAGTCCAAAGTATGAGAAGCAGCGGGGATGCACGTCAAAACGGAAAAAGTGAGAGATTGAGAGCGAGAGAGAGAGAGAGAGAGAGAGAGAGAGAGAGAGAGAGAGAGAGAGAGAGAGAGAGAGAGAGAGAGAGAGAGAGAGAGAGAGAGAGAGAGAGAGAGAGAGAGAGAGAGAGGGGGGGGGGGGGGGGGGGTTGAGAGCTGGATCAGAGGGAGGAAAGACGAAGGGAGGGAAAAGGAGGGGGAAAGACAACGGGAGGAAGAGCAGAGGGGAAAGGACAAGGGGAGGTAAATCAGAAAGGGAGAGAAAAAGGGACCAAGAGAGGGGAACGGAGGGGGAACGACAAAGGGGGAGGGACGGAGGGGGAGAGAAAAAGGAAGAGGATCGGAGGGTGCCATACGAAATTGGGGAAGAACGGATGAGAGAGGAAGGGATGGGGGAAGAACGGATGGGGGGAGAACGGACGTGGGGATATCGGACGGGGGAGAACGGACGGCAGGAGTAGGTTCGTGGGAAGAACGGACAGGAGGGAGAACGGGCAGCGAGAGAGCGGATGGAGGAACAACGGACATGCAACAACAAAATTAGGCGCACATGAATAGAAGAGAATAGGATTTAGCGTAGATCTCAGCCTCACAGCTAGACTGGGCAGTAGACGACGAGTAGGTGGACCTCCACGAGATGGCGCCTGCACAAAGGTTAAAACAGTAGCCCTGGGAGGACCTGAGCGTCTCAGCGTCGTCCGCCCACGAAGCGTCTATATGCCCTGTAATAACCACTGGCCTGCGTCCTCCTAGCACTAGCCCCATGCCCAATGTACTCGCTAAATTGGGCATTAGAGCTTTTTGCAAATCTCCACCTGTAATGTGCCCCACCCAATCCCCCCCTCTCCCTCCGATCATGATAAGAAGAATACTAGCATGTGTTCAAGCCCTTGTAGAAGATTAGGTCATACGCTAGACTTGTACACACATTTGTTTCCCATGGCCTATTCAAAACCGGTATAGCACTGTGGTTATCAAATGATGCAGTCGCTGAGCAAAACAATTCAATTCCCCGGTCATTAATTTCGAACAACCGTGCAGGACTACATACTGCAAGAATGGATTAACACTATAAGAGCCCTTAGAGTCGATACTTGTGCAGCTACAGCGGACTCAAGAGGGGTTTAACATTAATAAGAGCACTTCATCAAGAAAATTTCACCCCTTTCAGTAATACATAGAGTTATTATGGTATGTAGAGCCTGTTATATTTTCATTCAGAGATTACACCGCGAGATCTTAAGAACATATTATGTTTGATTCCGTCCATCTTCACCACGAATATGGAGCCGCATGCTGAGACAGTTGCTCCCACCATTGAGGAGGAGCTGCATGTCGGTTCTTGCTGTTGCTCCCGATGCTGCTGTGACTGCTCTGTCCCCAAAGGCTGCCATTTCCGTTCCTCGTGCACTTGCGGCAGTTACCTCTGCTGCAGCTCTTGTCCCCCCAGCTGTTCCAGCAGCTTCTTTCGACTCCTTACCTGTTAAGCCCCATGCTAGTTCTGAAACCTGGAGTCCGTACATGCCTACCAAGTTTGAGGGTCGCCCTACTAGGTAGAAAATCAGAGAGCAGCAATATGAGAGACCAATCAAACACTTGCAAGGAAGGATGCATAACAAGGCATTGTAAATACCGGGAGTGATCCTTATGTTGTTGTTTGGGTACATATAAAGTACACACCATGCTGTTCAAAGGGGTGTATCGGTTCAGTGACATAATATTACAGCAAGCCGAATTTGATGAAGTGTTCATAAAATTACTTTGATTGTTTTCCAAAGAAAGTGCATTCCTCGACAGTGTAAGATGACTCCACAATAGGAAAAGGCATATTCTAGCTTCCATGGATAAGCGTCAAACTGTACGATTACCAAAATCAGACACATTCTCCCCCGTCAAAAATGAAAATGCTGATAGGTGTCACGCCGGAGCGTGTATGGGTTTAGGGTACAGACAGTGTAACATACGTTACAGTACAAAGCATTTATTTAAAAGGGCAGTGTCATCCCAAAACGCATCGGTTTCTTGGCGTTCCTTCTGAACATGTTGTTAGAATACAAGAAAATGACTAGAATCAAGGGTGAACAAGGGAGATATAGGGTTGGAGTTGTACCCTCTAAGAACACACACGTATCTCGCCTATAACTTCTACGTACAAATATTTGTATAATTTGATGCATATAACTCATACCAATAAACATACTACCTATGGCGCTGTTCTTCAAAGGATCCATCTGATAGGGCTCCCGCAGAAAAGGAGACAATCCCCGACGATAAATAAGCATTTACCTACGAACGATAAGCATTGCTAACAGGGAATACTCATATGAAGTCGAAAGTGTGCTTACCCTCCACGAATAGCGGCTACCGTCTCCCTTCCACAACCTCTACGGACCTGGCTCTTCCCGCTCCCATAGTGCCTGTTGGTGTTGCTGTACAAGCTGTGGCTGCAGTTGCTGCAGCATATTCTGCAGCTCCAGCCATTGCTGTTGCAAACACGTCTGGTGTTGCTGCAGTTGCTGCATATGCACTTGTCCCTGCCCTCGCTGCAGTTGCTGCTGCAGTTGTTGGTGTTGCTGCTGCTGCAGTTGCAGCAGCAGCCGCTGCAGATGCTGCCACCGTTGTTCCTGATGTTGCCCCTCTGGTTGTCGCAGGTGCTGCTGCCTATGCTGCTGGCCCTGCTGCTGCTGCTGCTGCTGTCCCTGCTGCTGTCCCCATTGCTGCCCCTGCTGCTGTCCCTGCTGCTTTCCCTGTTGCTGTCCCTGCTACTGTCCCTGTTGCTGTCCCTGCTGCTGTCCCTGCTGCTGCTCCTCCTGCTGCTGTTGCTGCCGCTGCTGCTGCTGCTGCTGCTGCTGCCGCCGCCCCTGCTGCTGCTGCCGCCCCTGCTGCTGGCCCTGCTCCTGCTGCTGCTGCTGCCGCCCCTGCTGCTGACCCTGCTGCTGCTGCTGCCACCCCTGCTGCTGGCCCTGCTGCTGCTGCTCCTCCTGCTGCTGTTGCTGCCGCTGCTGCTGCTGCTGCTGACGCCACCCCTGCTGCTGCTGCCGCCCCTGCTGCTGGCCCTGCTCCTGCTGCTGCTGCTGCTGCTGCCCCTGCTGCTGGCCCTGCTCCTGTTGCTGCTGCTGCCGCCCCTGCTGCTGGCCCTGCTGCTGCTGCTGCATGTGCTGGCGCCGCTTCAGCATCCGTTCCTGCAGTTTAGTCTTCCGCAATTGGCGACAGTGCTTCTGCCCCACCTACCTGCTCTGTTCAGCCTGCTCCCCTTGCATGCAAGGTTCATCACCACTATCCATCAGGCCATGCCCATGCGTTACTCGTGCGGTGCTCACCTCCACAGCTGTAAACACTCCGAAGTTTACATGCCCCTCAACATTCCCACGCACATCTGCACCCTCCATTGGCTGTTCCCCCGCAAACTGTCCCCCCGCAGGCTGTCCCACTGCATTCACACCCGTTTGTTGCCCAGTTCCCTACCCCTGCTCCCTAATGACTAATTCAGCTGGTACCTGCCTTTGTTGTCGAAGGTGTTGCATTCTCCGCAGTCGCGCCCAGATCACTCTCTCGGCAACAGCATTTGATGCATTTCCATCTGCAGGGGCGCTGCGGTCCTCGACTCCCTCCTCGGGGCTCAAAACCCTCTCTCCTTGCTCCCCCCTCCCACCCCTCCCACCCCGCCCTCTCCTCCCCCCACGTTCCCCCGATGCACCCGTTCCTATCCCCCCTCCCCTGCCTTCCATGCTTCTGCTTCCGCCTGCGCCTCCCCTGCCTCCCCTCCCTCTGCTGACTCCGCTTCGCCCCCTTCCTTCCATTACACCCCTTGTTCCCCTCCTTCCTGTCCCTCCCATTCCTCCCCTTCCAATGCTGCCTCTCCTTCCCCCACTTCTTGCCATGCCATTCCCTGCTCCCATCCCAACTTCCCCCCCTCTCTCCGTGCCTCCTCTGCTCCCTGTCCTCCCTCCACCTCCACCTGTCCCTCCACTTGTCGTCTCCACACCAAAACTGGTGCCTGCTGTAGCTTGGGCTGCTACGTCCACCCCCCCTTCAGATGCTCCCACATCACCCGAGGCCCCTCCATCCCCCGTAACTGTGTCTTCTCCAAGCCTCTCGTTCTGGTTGCACTGCTGTGCAGGATCAACACCTGCCAGTACCTCCCGCAGCTCTGGCTGAACATCTTCTGGAACACATTCCACAGGAACCTCGTCGCACTCATCCTCCGAGTCATCAGAACTACTGCTTTCTTCTTCCTCTACGTCTTCAGCCGCATCATTCACACCATCACCCTCTAGCTGTGCTTCGAGCTGCTGCCTAAGGGCTGCGCACACCACTCCTGGGTGGTGGCTGCCGTTGCATGCAACACACGGTACCACACTCACCGTCGCCTCAGCCCGTGTAGCTGTCTGCACACTCACATGACCTTCTAGGGTAAAAAGTTCCTCCCAAGCTGCTCGAATTTGCTTCCTCAAGTCACGAGTTTTTATGTTATGGCCCTTCTCCCCACACTTCCCACACTTACGAAGTTTCCTTGGATCGATCTCACTGTGGGGTCTTAGCCGCTGCAAGCGTCGCCTCCCTGGCTTTTGGGATAGGTGGGGGGTAGAGTAGTGCCATCCGGTGTTACTTCGGTCCGGTCTGGAGTAGCAATCTCAATGCTGTAGACCTCCTTGAGTGTAGCAGACCTGTAGCACGGGTGCACCATCGCCCGAACCACCTCTTGCAGGGCTGCCAGCTCATTGCCCCGAGCTGGCCGGGTTTCGTAGATATTCACCGCGAAGATATGCACACACGGTAGCCCGTACTCACTGGAAGCACCAATAGAGGAAAAAGACAAGGCACAAAGTTTTTAAGCAGCCGTCCACCGATCCTTATATGCTTGGGTGACAAAAAATCTATTTCACAACGATCAAGGTCCAACAAGAGCATATGCTGCTGAAAATTGAAAGAAAACCTGCGAAAGTGACAAACCTTGAGTAATTGCATGAGCATACGGTCTTCTCGGGATGGTTGGCGTTCTTTATCACCACACGCTCCTCCTTAGCCCCTATCTTGCGGCTCACGTGGTACGAGCTCAAGCCCGTCTTCTCCACGTTGTAGGACGTGCCCGTCTGACAATTCTCTCTGACTATGGTTGCCGTTTTCTTCCCGAAGTCAGCAGCCCCAAGGCTTCCATAGAGGGCACGCCCCTCTTCAAGCGCGGTCGCTTGCCGCTTGATGAATGCCAGCAACACCTGCGCGGGGTTGTCCTGTCTCAGCCCACGCATTGATGCATGATGCGATTCCACCGGATTTGATGTATAGCAGCCATAGCGTGGCCCACCGAAGAGAAATGTCGCCCATTTCTGTCCTTGGCCGTCCTTCTCCAAGTATTCCTTCCCTCCAGGACACTCTTCTTCAATCTTCTTCATCATCCCTCGGTGCACATCCTTTGTTAACGCAGCAGCCGCAAGCTCAATCTTGCCATCTAGGTCTGAGCCAAACTTCGAGCTGAAGTTCCTCACCAAGTGAGTTAAGCAGAATGCCTCCCGCATCCCGGGCAACACTATGGTGGCAGCAGACTTCCACGCCTTGCCACGATCATGCATCAGGGTAAACTTCGGGGTGTTGATCTTTGGTGCAGCCACCTTCAGCTGGCCCAAGAAATACCGGCACGATTCTGCGTTCTCACCTTCCGTCCACGCACTGCCGAGCCTCACAAGCTTGTGTTCACAATCAACCATACAAGCGTTGAGGGTTTGCCCGTGCCACTTTCCCTTGTTGTGGCAACCATCGACAAAAATGATAGGAAAGCAATTTTGTACAGCACTGCTAGCTCCCGGATACACCACACCTGCGCGGTAGAACTTGTTCCCCTGCAGCATCATGGAAACAACGCTGGTGGGATTCTTCTGTTTAAAGACTCTCAGAATGTCACCAATGTACTGGAAACCCTCATCACCAGCCAATGGGTCCTCCTGTACCACCTCTTCAATGGCCCGATAATTTGTAGAGTAGCAGCTGTACTTCCCTAATCTCTCGCGCACCATCTGTTGTAGATCAGCTGGTCTGAGAACACTATGGGGCATTACCTCACGTGCAATCTCTTTAACTTCCTCCTTTTTAACCCTCCCAGGGCGTGGCATGCACATGCCTGCATGCTGCAAACTAGCAATTTTCATACTAAAGCCGCACCCACATGGCCCCGTCGCCTTGATCCTAAACGGACAAAATCCACGAGGTGGATTCGCTTCATCTTTTGGCCAATCTTTGTTTTTCATTGAATGACAGCGCACATCAATCCAATCCGCCTTGTTGTGGAAGAACCACGGTTCAAACCTCTTCTGGTCACCATACTTCACGATGTCATCCTTTGCAGCAATCTTCGATGAGTAGATCTTGCCAACGTGTATGTCCACATCGTCATTTCGTTGCCTTAGAAAAGCACTGCTTGAGCCAAAAAAGGAGGTTTTGTGTTGCTATGCCATGTAGCAACCCTAACGGAGTGCTCATGGGGCCCTAAACCGTGAGCATTCGCTTCTGAAACAACATAGGATAGTGCTCACCTTGATAACGAGCTTCTGAACATATTGTCCCTCTTGCTTTGCAGAGATGATAAGTATGTTGCATCTACCTGAGAGGAACACGTGTTGGTGGCACAAACAAACAGATAGTAGGAGAAAATTAGGGGAGTGACAGGTAGTGAAGGGCAGATTAAGCGGAGGATTGCAAGATGTTAGTGTAGTGGGTGGGCGGATTGAGTGGAGATAGGCGGAGGCTGGTGATGATGTGCAGTCGTAACAGAAAAAGACGATGGGGTAGTTGGGAACGGAAGGTAAAGCAGTGGAACATCAGGCACGCAAGCATTGACGGGTGGATTGAGCGGTGGGAGTGGCGATAGAGTTGTTGGGCGGATCGAGCAACGAGAAACGTTTGCATAGCGGGTGGATTGCGTGGGGAAAGGGGATGGGGGCAGCAGGAGAGACTCATAAGCTAGTTGGGAAGGGCGGATAAAGCAAGGAAAATTCGTGCTAGCGGGTATTGACGGGCGGATTGCGGGGGAGTGGTGAGAGTGGGATAGGCAGACAGAAGAGGAAAAACAGCGCCGCATGCTAGGTGCTTACTTCGGCGAATGAAATGGCTGTATGTAGGAGTTAAGGGGCGGCTTAGGGAAAGCCAAGAGACTGAAGGGGCAAAACTTGTGACAGTTGTTGGAGGAGCATGCTAAGTGACGAATTAGTGTGTACTATTTGGCACAGCTAGATCCGGTCAACTGTAGGAGTGTACATTGGAACCGCCATAAATACTTGAACCTAAGCAGATTTATCTTTCAACTATGCGGAGGAATAAATATCATGTGATACCGGCTGTAGTTGCTGTTTCGCGGGCTTATCATGATGCGCCTCGAAGTGACTAGCAGTTGCGGACCAGTGCAAACCCTAGAATAACTTGCATGAGGTGTTAGTGTGAAGGTTGGGCTGCCAAGGATGTGTTATCGTCAGCATCGCGGATTGCGGAATTGGTAAGGGAACCTTCAGTCATAGAGCTTGGCGAGCAGAAGTGTTGGCATGTTGGCGGGAAGATTTGGCGCAACAGTAGGGCTGTGTAACAGCTCGCTGTAGAGCCACCCACCTCCCTGGATGGCTTCGGAACAAGAAGACAAGGAGGGGTGTGGCGAATTTGTCAAGTGAAAAGTACAGTGACAGAGCAACGAGATTGTGACGCGTGGTTCGTTGTGGAGCGGACTAACCTCGAAGAACAAAAAATTGCCCCTCGAGGGTTGGAACAGCCAAAAACCCTTCTGTAATAGGGGTAAACGTTACCCCAGAGCGTAAAACGATAGTAAGGGTTACCGTTAACCTAAAAACCCGGAATGTTTCAAGCGGACGAAACAGATTGGCCACTTGGGGTGGTTGGCCAGAACCTGCGCGAAGAAAATGGAGCCAGGTGAACAGTGAGGCGTCTGTTTTTGCGGAAATAGCGTCTGCCAAAAGGCCGACCGACAAATCATACTGACGCGACGCGCGAGACGGGCCGTACACTGGCGCGCGTCGGAATGACGCGATGGAAGACCCAAACAAAGGAGAAAACTCTGGGAAAAAACATTTCGACGCCGGGACAGCCTAAAAATTGGCGGGTCGAGGAAACCCTGTGATCAAAAGATAGAGGAAGGGTGATCTGCTACAGAAAGAAACGACGGCGATCATAAAAACCACCACTG